GAATGCACAGAATGACTGAAAGTATTTATATTCTTAAAAAAGTATTTTAATGGTGTTAGTGATCCTCCCAAGTCCCTAGAAATTTTACCTTTTGAACCCCAAACTGCAATAATAACATCTGTCCCAAAATAGACTGAGCCCTGTTTTCTAAATTAATGCTGTGTGTGTTTATATTAATTGTATGAATGAGTGCTAAGAGAAATATTTCAAAAGAAAATTGATCTGTACTTTCAGAGAACATGCATCTTTAAGTTTCTCGGCGCTGTAGCAATGGACCTTGGGATAGACAAGGTAAAGCCGTATCTACCCGTGATCATAGCTCCTTTGTTTCGAGAACTGAACAGCACCTATTCAGAGCAAGGTAACCCTGCTGCCTCTGTTCTCCTGAATATTTCCTTCCTTTCTTTCCTCCCCCCCTGCCAGAGTTTGTTCTAAAAAAGAAACCTTGTGAGTTATCAAGAGAATTCCTAGCTAACAAATAGGCATATTTATATTTGATTGTCCTTTTCTATTTGCTTTCTCCTAAGAGTAAATGTTTCTCTCCTAAAAGGTATGTTTTACTACTAAGTGTAGATTAAATATTCAAAGAAAACTATGGTTTGGGGTGGTTCTAAACCTCAGTGCTATAAACAATAATGAACAATAAAATGTCATAACATTCTCTTCTAAGGCAAAAATACATGCATTATGGTTTTTACATGAAATAGTTTTAAAATATCATTTTAATGTTTCCTCTTTTTCTTTTCTTGCCTTGCCTGGTACATTTGATACATTTCCCTCATGGATCCTAATTGTTGGTAATAGGAAAAGAGGGAATTAGGGGTTGGAAAGAGGGGAGGTAAAGTTATAAAGTGAATATCAAAGCAGGAGCTTTTTTAGTCCTACAACTTGAGAGAAAGTTTCCTTACTATTAGAGGAAAAGCGCAGTGGTAAAGGTTGAGGCTGCTGACAGAGTCAGGTTTGAGTCTGCTTCAGTTTGGGTCAGCCAACATTTAATGAGCACCTAATATTTGCCAGGCACTAGGGGTTCAACAGTGGAAAAGGCCTGTTTTTCAAGAAGCTTGCAATCTCGCACTTATGTCCTGGGCTCCCCTGAAATTAAATGCAATAATCTGGAGTTATTTCCATTTGTGGGGTGAGGGGGCAGAGAGTGGGTGGGAGATCACGGCTTTTTGTTAGCTTCTCAAAGGAGTCTTTGATCCAAAAAAAAAAAAAACCAAAAAGGTTACTGTGGGCAGAGCTAAGCTTCCATGCCACATGAATTACAGAGGGGCTTGAGATGCTCTCTTACCTTTCCTCCCATCTGCACAGAACTGTGCAAGTAAACAAAGGTAACCCGAAACATTTCTGCCGAGGTCTCAAATTACTTATGTCTTCAGAGCCAGGTTTCCACTGGGAAGTGGGTCTCGTGGTCTCCAGTCTCATTGCACCCTGGATGGGGTGGTGGCTGGGAGTGCTGTGTTCAGCACTTCTGCTGGTTTTCCCATTTCAGAAACAGAGGCCAGTTTGGGATCAGTATTTAATGTTGAAGTAACATTGATAATGCTGCAGGAGTTTAAATGTTATATATGGTCAATTTTGTTGTTCAAATGTGTCCTTTCCCACCTGATGTCTCTGATCATTACTCTTTGTATGTGATTAGATCCTGTGCTGAAGAATCTATCCCAGGAAATCATAGAATTACTCAAAAAGCTGGTTGGGCTTGAGAGCTTCTCGTTAGCCTTTGCCTCTGTACAGAAACAGGCTAGTGAGAAAAGGGCACTCCGGAAAAAGAGGAAGGCTATGGAGGTAAGTTTGCTGTTTGAAAATACGGCACGTTCACTGAGCTTAATAACTATTTTAACCAGGAGTGTGCATGCGTGTGTCACACTTACACCCAGGGAGACTAAAAGTTTGAGAGGTGGGGACTCTATAGCTGGGGCTCCAGATTTCCTTCAGTGGGCATGTATTACATTTATGATGTTTGAAGGTAAACAAAATGGTGGTATATTTTCTGTATTTGATTTTTATTGGTTTAACATTTACTTTGTAAGTAATATAAAATTTCTATTCTATTTTTAAGTTTGTAACTAATCCTGATATTGCCGCCAAGAAAAAGCTGAAGAGACACAAAAATAAAAGTGAAGCAAAGAAGAGGAAGATAGAGTTCCTGCGTCCAGGCTATAAGGCCAAGAGACAAAAAAGCCACAGCCTGAAAGATTTAGCAATGGTGGAGTGATGTCTCCCTGTGCTAATAATACCCAAGTATAGTTTATACTGTCTCAACTTGCCCCAAAGTATGAGCTTTCTGGTGTATTCTGCTAGTCTGAGATTATAGCAGGTTTTATTATTTAAATTAAACTTTGGCATAGATTGTATAATATATACAGTTTAATCATGCTATATTTTTAAAATTAAAACGTTTCATACTACTGCTTTATCTTCACTTGTCTAAAAAACATGTGACACTAGCAATAGAGTTTAAAGCATGGTTTTTTAACAAAAAGATACAGTTTAAAATAGCAAGAAAAAATGTAGAAGTTAGGAATAAATCAAACAAAATATTTACAGTACCTTTATGGCAAACATTATAAAACTGTGTCAAAAGGCATTAAGAAAGATCTGCACAAATGAAGAAATGTAACCATGCTCATGGATAGGAAAATTCAGTATCATACGATGCTAGTTATTCCCAAATTGATCCCTTTGGTTAAATGTCTATCTGAGCAAAATCTCAAAAGTTCTTCATGTTAGCCCAACAAGCTGATTCTAAAGTTTATGTGGAAGTTAACAAGCCAACAATAGTATGAACTCTTTACAAAAGGAGAACAGAATAAAGGGCTTTCCATGTCAGATATCTAAAGACAGGCACAAAAAGCACTATCTAGAGAAGGAACATGAGATAAATTCTAGTTCATTAAAATTAAGAAAACAAAAATAGGCATTGCACAAAAGAAGAAACATAAATGGCCCTTAAACATTAACATTTAGCTGATATGGCTGTACCAGTTCTTAAATACTAAAGTATTATGTACCAGTTGGTAAGCAGGCACTGCCTTGAGACCCCTAAGTGCTTCCCTGGCTACCTGAGTCCCTAGACTCCATCCTTCCCACTCCAAAAGTTAAGATTAAGATCTAGACTAGTAGGGGTCCTCCTGTACCAGCTATGTCTAGTTGTTAAAATATTCTGAACCATTCCTATATTCAACCTCATTAGTAATTAGGAAAATGCAAATTAACATCAGAATGGCATTCCATTTCAAACCCATCAATTGATGAGAGTCACAATACCAGGTGTTGGCAAGCATGGTGAAGCAACAGGAACTCTTACAAACCACTTTGGAAAGCGATTTGGCATCATATTGTAAACCTGAAGGTGGGTACACTCCCTGATCCAGCAGTTCCACTCTGAGAGAAACAGAACCATGGGTCCAAAGAAAACAGGTACAAGAACATTCATGAACCATTGATAAGATTCAAGAACTAGAAGCAATCCAAATGTCCTTCCACAAGAGAATGCATAAATAAAGTGGTATATTCATACTCTAAAATACAATATTGAAAATCAGCTAGTTAGGCAGGACGTGGTGGCTCACGCCT